GAGAGAGAGAGGGATGTGTTTGTCTATGAGGGAGAGAGAGGGGGGTGTTTGTGAGAGAGAGAGGGATGTGTGAGAGAGAGAAAGAGAGAGGGATGTGTGTGTGTGAGAGAGAGAGATGTATGTGTCTGTGAGAGAGGTGTGAGTGTGTGTGAGAGAGGGAGGGATATGTGTGTGTCTGTGAGAGAGAGAGGGGTGTGTTTTTGTGAGAGAGAGAGGGATGTGAGAGAGAGAGGGATGTGAGAGAGAGAGAAAGAGAGAGGGATGTGTGTATGTGTGTGTTGTGAGAGAGAGGGATGTGTGTGTGTGTGTGTGAGAGAGTGATGTGTGTGCGTTTGCGAGGGGGGGTTTGAGAGAGAGAGCTCTGTGTGTGAGAGAGAGATGGATGTGTGTGTGTTTGTGTGAGAGAGATGTGTGTGTGTCTGTGAGGGAGAGATTGAGAGTTGTGTGTGTGTGGGGGGGGAGGTGTGTGTGTGTGAGAGAGGGATGTGTATGAGAGAGAGAGAGAGATGTGTGTGCATCTGTGAGAGAGAGAGAGAGAGAGAGAGAGGACATGGGAAGATTTTTCCCAGTGCCTACCCCACAGGATGTGTCTGTAATGCTCATTCAATTCAACCAGCACGTTAACAAGGCTTGCTGATGGACAGCATATGGAGAGTAAGACAGAGAAGGCTTCTAACTTTTGGAGACCTCCAATATATCCCAGACCCTGAATGAGACGGCAGATGTGGAAAATGGCATTTACCTAGGGAGGAATGGGGCAAAACCATGAGTTGACTTCCACCAAGCGGTGCTGAAGGTGGTAGCGAATGCGCGAGTGGAGGTGCCCGGCTGTTCGGCGGGTCAGCAGATGTGTTGATCGCTTCTAGCACAGCGGTCAGGGGCTTTGCAAAGAACACGGGCACGGGCCTCAGCCACCTTTGTCTTATCCAGCAAGCCCCCTTCAAGATCTCACACTGCAAATGCAGTCAGTTCGGGCCTCGACAGCTGCCAGGACATTTGCAACCAAGCCCAGAGCAGTGCTGGCCTGGCCTGCCCCACCCAGCTGCCCACCTCTATGCAAGAGTCCAAAGGGAACGGGGCACCCAACAGGAGAGTCCCTAGCTGGCTCGCGATGGGGGCCTCCCCTGAACATCCTGAGCCTGTCCCCATTCCCTTTCTCCTTTCTCTCTTCTCTGCTGGGAAGACTGATGAGCTGCTGGTTGGAGAGGTGGGAGGAAACCCTCGTGGGTCTTTCAGCCTCAGGCCCAGTGCGGGAAGGGACGCGGGACCTCGAGCAGTGAACTTGATCAAGCAGCAAACAGTATCGACCTGAGGACCTTTCCCTGTGCCGCCGTGCTGTCATCCTTCTGCCCCTGGATGACAAGACCATGTGCATCCTCCCATGCTCAGATCTCGTTTAGCTTGGAGCGGGAGATCACTGGCGATGTGTTTGGCCAGATGGCTAGGTGGATGCTCTGTTCTCTCTTCCTCAAAGACTGTGCGTGCTAGTCCAGGGCTGCCGACCCCGCTTTGCCAGAGGACTGCCTTTTCATTTCCCCAGCGCAGGATGCAGAGATGGGGCTGGAGCTGCTGGCAGGCAGGGCCTGAAAGTTTCCGAGATGAGCTTGTGTCATGGGCTGCTGTGCTTCGACTAACTTGGAGGTTTAACCGATGGACTCCTGGTTAACAAAGCGCTGCTCCTCTGCTTTCTCTCCCTGCCTGTAGCTGTGCCTAGAGGAAATGAATTACCAGGAAAGTGGAAACTACACCAGAGTGACGGAATTCGTTCTGCTGGGGCTGTCCACGCACCCCGCATCCCAGAGTGCCCTCTTCTGGTCACTCATGTTTCTCTACATGGTGACTTTGGCGGGAAACGGCATGATCATCTTCCTGGTAGGAGTCAGTTCTCCGCTCCACACCCCGATGTATTTCTTCCTCAGTAACTTATCGTTACTGGATCTCCTGTTCTCCACCAGTGCTGTGCCCTTGATCATGGTGCACTCTCTGCAGGACTTCCCCACCATCTCCTACCGCTCCTGCTTTGCCCAGCTCACCATCCGAGCCTTCCTGGTACTGGCTGAGTGTTTCCTGCTGGCCATCATGGCTTACGACCGGTTTGTGGCAATCTCAGCTCCGCTCCGGTACAACCTGGTCATGTCTTCTCGAGTGTGCGCTGTGCTGGTGTTGGCTGCATGGATGGCAGCTCTCCTCCTCACCGTTACACCCGTTCTGCTCTTGCCCATCAGCTTCTGTGGGCATAACACCGTCAATCACTTCTCCTGCGAAGTGCAAGCCATCTTTAAATTGCTCTGTTCCAACACCACTTCCCTAGAGGTTATGATGATGGTGTGTGCTGTTACTTCAATGCCAGTACCTTTGAGTTTCATCCTGATCTCCTACCTTTGTATCCTCAAGGCTGTCTTAAGAATCCACCCAGCCGAGGCCAGGCTTAAAGCCTTTTCCACGTGTGGCTCTCACCTGGTTGTGGTCACCATCTACTTTGGGACACTAATATATATTTACGTGAGGCCTCAGACCAAAAAGGTCGAGGACGGAGACAAGATTGTCTCTATATTTTATGCAGCGGTGACCCCAATGCTAAACCCCCTCATCTACGCCCTGAGAAACAAGGACGTGAAGGCTGCTCTCAGGAGAGTGACTTGTGGGGCCAAGTCCTGAGGCTCCAGCACACAGCAGGGTGCTGGGTGACAGGACGGTGCAAGGGCTTGAGCTGTCCTGGCAGCTTTGCATCTGCGAGTGGCACTACGGGAAGGGAAAAGGACTTGCAAGGCGTCCGCATATCGGAAGAGATTACGCAAGAATGAGGATCTGACGCCACAAACATAGACAAGTGCTAAATGTCACCTGCATCTCAAATACAAATAAAGTGCAAACTCAACACGAGGAGCAAGGGCTACAATGTGTATGCCAGAAAAATAATCAACGTCTCGTAGATCATGAAGCCAGAGGAGAAATACCCCAATAAGACAATGGCCAAAAGGCACGAACATGCATTTGATTAAAGAGGAAACCAGAGCTCAGACCTAAGCAACAGTAAGGTAGCACTTTGTACATATCGAATTCACAAAAATGGAAAGTGTTTGCAGCATAGGGCACCGCTGAGTGTTTAGGTAAAGACGCCAGGGTGGGGGATGTGAGTGGGTGCACGTCCACTCACATAGGATGACCTATTCTGTTGGGGTGGAGGTAGCTGGCAGCTGGCAGCTGGCAGCGGCCTCGTCTTCTGCATTTGCTACTCTGAGAACACCGGGGCAGATATACAGGCCTGGTGGGGGCTCTGAAGATGCCCAACCTGGAACATGATGTCAGTCTCTGCCCACAGAGACTGCACAGTTGGGGCACTTGCCCTTGCACCCTCCCCAGTAGTGGGAGGACCTGGGGTGAAGGATGGTTTCCCTCCAAAGGCAACTCCTCCTCTTCTGCCCTCTGTGTGAGGGAGCTCCAGGGGGCGGTTGGTCTTGCACAGGTGGTCCGCTTTATGTAGAACGGGAGGCCTTCCGAGGACCCTTCTTCACAACTGGGAGCTTTGGGAAGATGGGAAAGACCTGCTTTGGCATCTTATGTCACCATGCCGCCTCGATGCACCTGTGCCACAGAATGCTTACGCATGCAGGTAACACGTATGTGCAAGAATGCTCCTTAAGGCACTCTTGGGACTTGTGAGAATTTTGAATAAAAGCCTTAAGTGTCCCTGCATAGTGCAGTACTATGGAACACCGTGTAGCTAGGATGGCCCTACTCGGTCTCTCTTCTGGGGCCAGAAGGTGATCTGGAGGGAGCACATACTATGTTCGTGATGAAGACAAAAGTGCAAGGGGGTGGTCAGGATGTCTCCCAAGGCCCAGGGTCAAATTAGCAGGTTGTTACTTTTGTCGGTATTTGATGAGCTAAAGTAGGGAGAGTCTAGCTCAACACAAGTATCAGTGGGGCATGGAGATGTATTCTGTCACTAGAGGGAGGAACACCAAAGTCAAGAGGCTGAGGGCGTGGCTGAAATGGAGGATTAAGAACTAGGGGAAATGTTGCAGTTCACCATAGAGGGCAAAGATGTCGGCAAGGGAGCTGGCAACTTCACCCCCGGTGTAGATGGGAGTGCTGAGAAAAGAAAACTCCAAGTGTATACTCGAACCCACATCTGGTGGCTCTGGCTGGTAGGTACCTTCAGCACTGGGCCCCGGGTTAGTGTGGGCCCTTTCAATTGTGTGCTGGGTTGCTGCTAGACAATAAATACCCTCCTCGCAACTCCCGCATCTATCCTTAAGTTTCTGGACGTTTGGATTGCAAGCATTTTCAGAAATGTGTCATGTTCGACAGCGAGAAGCTGCCTCTATCCAGACAGTCTGTTTGGACTGTGTGGGTGTAGGTGGTGGAGAGAGCAAGCAATGGGGCGCAAGGCACCCATGTTAGATCTGGGCTCCTGGATTTCCAATGGGGCGCCACCTGCATAGCACAGCTTACAAGCAAGATGGACAAGACACACGGTCAGGTCAATCTTGGGCAGCAATTGTGTTCCCAACTCTTAAAACGTATGTTGATGAAGACAAAGAACAGCCAGAAGCAGAGTAACGAGATGCGACAACTAAAATAGCAGGGGTTGTAGTCAGAGAACAATATATTCTCTATTTTGCACTGAAAAATGCTAAAAAACAGGGCAGGTGTTTGGCCTAGTGATGAATATACTGCTTGGAGCACCTACATCCCATATCCCAGTGCCTGGATTTGAGTCTCAGCTCTGCTCCCAATTCCAGCTGTCTGCTAGTGTGTATCCTGGTAGGCAGCAGGTGATGGCTCAAGTACTTGGACCCCTGCCACACACGTGGAAGACCTAGATGGAGTTCATGG